ATTATATACTGTATATAAAGTGTTCTTAACCCTTTTTATTGTACATACTGTATACAGTATACTGTAATATTTTAGGTTTTTTAAGCTTTTTTTACCCTTTTAGCTCAGTTCAGCTGCTGCCGCTGTTACCTTGTGACTCATTTTTTGCTGAAGCTCACTCACAAGGCTCTTGCCATTTTGATGCCGGACTATCAGGAGTGCCGGACTATTGGATGCCAGACTATTGGAGTTTTACTGTACTTACACAATCCTTTGTGATTTCAAAGTTCCTTTTGGCTGTTTAGTGAGGTGTACAGAGGAATATCCAGGAGAAGGGGGGAACAGGCAAACCTCTCCGTTGCTCTTGCGCATCAGCTTTTGTTTAAAAAAATGAGTAAGGCCAGATCTACACTAAAGAACTAAGTGGACCCAACTATGTTGCTCAGGGGCATGAAAAATCCAGACGGTTAATCATACTTAACCCAACCTAACCCCTGATGTACCTAAGGAGGAAAAAGAAAGCAAGGTGGGCCAAGAACTAGGGGAAAATACCACAATTAGCAAATAACTATCAGTAGCGGAGAAACTGAACTGCCCAGTGGCTCAGCAGGGACTAAGGCCAAAAATAGTGCATACTTTTTTTTCTTTACAGGCAGATGACCTTTGATGCAAAATTTCAGTGTCAGTTTTAATGCCCTTTCTAAGTCTGACTTTTTTCATTCATTTTTAATAGTGACTGTGTGAAAGTGGGCTTTAGTTAAAATTTGTCCCTGCTTTTTGTCAGCTATGTTTTAAGAGAAACAGTTTGAATCTATTCAAAAATTGGCAGATAGGAGACTCTTGAGCAGATTAATAGGTAGAATTTTAAAAGAAATATATTGGTTTTATGAGTCTTTTGTCAGTGTTTTTAAAAAATGAAGGTTTATCTGTCAACAGAAGCTGATGAATAAAATCTTCTCATTCAGAAAAATTCAAAATGGCTGCCATTTCCCATCATTCTCTAGGCCCGGAGACTGAGGCCATACATCAAACTGCTACAATTCATAATGCTAAGGGGGATAGAGTGGTGAAGAAGGAAAGGTAAAGCGGTAATATGGTGGTTGTAAAGAATACTTTGGTAAAAAGGGGTGATGGAAGGCTAGCATCCTCTGGCAGATGAAGTTTAGTTTATGATCTGTGAGTTATGGTAGCTGAGGTAGTGGCAAAGCGTGTGCCTGAGGGTGAAGGGGCGGATGGGTGTGCCTGTGGTTTGTACTGTTAGTTGGCTGACTTCCTTGCTTGTGTGTCAAGTACCGTAAATGTTTCATGACTAAGTTCTTGTGTATTAATGTTACTACTTATTTACCATTTATTGGCCAAAGCCTGCAGTTGCTGAAGGCCTTATTTCTGCAAGTCCTTGTGAGATATACAGGATAGTATTTGGGAAGTTAATCCGAATCTCTGTCTGCATCACTGTGACCACACTGCTATTTTTAGGCATTAGCTCAAGGAAGGTGCATGAATCCACTTGTGCTAGGAATTACAGCAGCACTTTTGTACACATGTCCTTAAAATGTGTTAGCTGGCATGTGGTACCCAACACTTTCTCACCAAGCTTAAATATCAGTCTAAACAAAGCTGTACAGGCCACCAGCAAGGACTACAGTGATATGTTGGTATATACAGGACATAACTGAGGGACGGGTCAGTGAAGAATTCTGGGACTGTGGACATGAGGCCTGATTCTGAAGTATTACCTAGGAATGTACTTTTTCTTCTCAGAAGCCTGGTTCTACTCTGAAAAAACTGACTCTGTAAAAGTGGATGAAATGGATGCGGATCCAGTTTTCTCAGTTTACAAGTGATAAGTTGGTTGCTGCAACTGCCAGCCCAGCAGACTCAACCTAGGTTTTTTTCCTTCTGACGTCCTCTTGCCAGTAACAAAGTACAGCCCAGTTTTTCTGCTCAGTTACACCTGTGCATCTCCACTGCATTCAGTAGAGTTATGTAAGTATTTCTGTCTAACTGTATTTGTGCTAAGGGGCAAACGATGTTATTTGAGCCCCATACAATCATTAGTGATTTTTATACTCTGTCTCATAGGGAGACATTAGCCCCATTTTACAGATGGCAAGATGAGGCACAGAATAGATTAACTGACCTGCCCAAAGTCGTATAAGGAATGTGTGGCAGGAACTCAGGTCAAAACTCTTGAATCCCAGGCCAGTGCTCTATCCACAAAACCATCCTTTCTTATCTCACCTTTTAGTGTGGTTGGGGACCTGAGGCCCCAAGTTTGGGACTTAGTTAACAAAAGGGTTGACAATGTGTGAGGAGGGCTATAATCAAACTCCCCTCCCAGAGCTATGTTGGTTCCACAGGGCTGAGAGAAGAAGTAAAAAACAATGCAACAGTTTTCATTTGCTGAAGCCAGCAGTTAGGAGCCGTCAGGAGTCCAAAGAAAGCACATTTCTTGAGTAAGAAGGTGGCATTTTCTGCAGTCACAGAAGCACACTTTAACATTCCACTCCACACTTCATAAACAGCATGGGCCAAATTCAGCCCTCGTGTGTTTGCCATGGCGCAATGGAATTCACTGTGTGGCTGGGGCATGCAAGCGGAGTGCCAGAGTTTTCAGCGTGTGCTACAATATGTGTCTTTGCTGTTTGAGAGTCAGATCTAGTCCTCAACCTAAGAAAGCCACTGGCTGCCATTCTAAATGGGAGAGAGTTAACACGTAGTATTATGTATACAGATCTTCGTGGCAGATCTAACTCCTCTTTGGTCGTTTCAGGACTCAGTGACTAAGCCAGCTTCCTATGTTGGGAAAAGACAAAAACAGCAAGAGAGACTGTTCACCAAGTTTATGACTACACTGCTGATTTTTTTGCAGAAGAGGACATGCAAATGGAGCACTAATTAGCATATCTCGTGCTCTCATTTT